GAGAAGGAATTCAGAAAAATTATTATAAAATGTATCAAAACACTATATAACGGAGCTGAGAAAAATAAGGAAGAAGTCAGGACAGCGCTACAGGAACAATCAAATAAGATAGATACAGCATTGGATACAATTCAAAACCTACAGAAAGAGGTCCAAACGATTAATAATAGAATATCAGAAATGGACAATACACTGAAAGGAGTAGAATTGAAGAGATAGAAGTCAGAACTAGTGAGCTAGAAGATAAATCTCTCAACACTACTAAGATAGAAGAGCAAATACAAAAAAGGATGAAAAAATCTGAAGAAAGCTAAAGATTCATGTTGGACAACATGAAAGGAATAACAAGAATTATTGGCATTCCAGAACAGGAACAATCACACAAATCCACAGAGGAGATCATTGAAGAGCTTCTGGAAGAAAATTTCCCTAACATCATGAAAAGTGAAAAGATAAGCATTCATGAAGCTCAACGAACCCCAGGATGGATAGAGCCTAAAAGGCAATCACCAAGACATATAATAATCAAGCTATCCAAAATCAAAGACAAAGACAGGATCTTGAAAGCAGCTAGGGAAAAGAGAAATATAACATACAAAGGCAAACAAATCAGATTAAGCTCGGATTTCTCAACAGAAGTCATGCAGGCAAGAAGGCAATGGGGAGACATATATAAAACCCTGAAAGAAAAAATCTGCCACCCAAGAATCTTCTACCCAGCAAAGCTGTCAATCAAATATGATGGTGTAATCAAAATATGCCAGGACAAACAAGCTAAGGAATTTTGCCAAAGCCAACCCTGCTATGAAAAACATCCTAAAGAAAGTTCTGTGGACTGAGAACCAACAAGAACAGACAACAACTACAGAATGACATACGTGGCAGCATCACCCTGAACTTAATTGACAAATGGAAGAGTCAAGAACAGAATAATATAAGAACAGAGGATCTGGGAGGACAGTCTATGATCAAAACAATTACTATACGAAAGAAGGTAAACACAGAGGAACAGAGATCCAGGTGGTGGGAAGGTCAGGTAGATTACTGGATAAAATAAACGGTCTTAAATGGAATATAAGGTAACCACAGTGGGGTTGGAGTGGGGGGTTTACTTTGGGTGTTGGGGAGGGCAATACAAGAAGAGGGGAGGAAGCGGAAGAACAAGATAGATAGGGGAACACTGAAACAGGTTTGCATGGCCTAGTGGGACAGAGGTAAATGGTGATGCATACTCAACCTTGGAACAACAGGGCTCTGGGATAGAGGGATCAAGTTATAGCTTGAAGAGGGTAAATAATACTAAAATCCTTGACTGCCTTATGAATATTAGTTTCCCTTGCTTACTATTGTAAAATAGACACTTGATTGGGATAGAAAGGAATGTTGGGAAACATAATCAGAGACAACTCGTAAGCCCGTCTTCAGCCTATAACTGATTGGAATACCTAAAAGGGGTTCTACAACTTGCCCAGTGAAATAGGCCTCGTGCAAAGCCTTTACAGAGTATAGGACCTTAGGTGGAATCCTGAGTCCCATCCAGAACCTTATGAGGTGGGACATTCCCACTACAAAGGATAAGCAGACTGGAACAGCTACAGTAACAGAAGATACATCTTCATGATGAACCTGATCTATACTCAGAGTGGTAGTTACTCTAAATACCAACAGAGAGGGAAAGAGTCTTCAAATCAAGTATCAATGCTATCTGCTCTGTACACAGGGGAGATAGGGATGGGCAACTTAGACATCGGCTACCTAAAATGAGGGGGCAATAAAGGCATGAAGTGACTGGCTTACAAGGTTTCAAGAGGGAGTTAAGTTAAGAGTATGGGGGGAAAGAAAGAATCCCCACTGAATAGCTGTCATCTTGTGTAAATGGGTCTGGTGGAAAGAGATGGGGATAAGATTCCTAAGATTCAATAGTGAATAATTGTTATCATGAATAATCACGACTGTCACAATGATAAAGGTAGAAGTTTTGTAACCAAAAAAAAAGGGGAGTGGTTAATCTTACAGTCCAGAAACAGAGGACCCTAGGACCATCAAGAGAGGAATGCAGAAGCAGAATGCGGGACCTTATCCAGAGAAGCAGTGGCACCAGAGATGGGGACATGGAGAGGGGGAGCGCCTGAGGACTCTAGATTCATTGACTAAGAAGAGAGGGACTAAGAGCTGGTGGCCAGGAGCCGACTTGCAGAATGTGCCCTTTGGAGATGTAAATTATTGTATATGCTTGAGTGGGTTTTTTTTTTTTTAAAAAAAAGCTAAAGTGGATAGAGAGAAATACTGTTAATTGATGGTACATTGAGGGGAGTACAATCATTGTAATGAAACAATATGATTTGTTGAATGTAATACTGACGATATGCCCTGTAAACTTTCACTCAATCCACAATAAAAACCTTTAAAAAAAAAAAAAGAAAAGAAAAGATTTACAGCCTTGGAAATCTTACACAG